AATCTGATAGGGGTCAATTCGTGATGAAGTTCATGAGACGAATGTGGAGGTACACCGAGAATTAAACGCCATTGTCAGGAATGGAGGAAAACAAAAGGTATCATTAGTAATCTTCTGAGTTAGTCTTTTATTGATTGTAGATACGTATTTAAAATTTTAATTATTATTCTGCAGATTAATGACAATGATGAGGAAGGTGGTAGTAGCAATCATTATAGCGTCGAAGATAAAAATGAGGAAGGTGGTAACAGTAATAATAATAGCATTGAAGATAAAAATAAGGAAGGTAGTACCAGCAATGATGATAATGCCGATGATAAAAAGGAGGAATGTGACAATGATGGCAATATAAACGGGGAAGAATATGTAGATGAAGACAAGGTCCGCATCTTTTTTTTTTGCACGTGGATCTGATAAGAAAAATATTAACTTGTTTTGTTCTCTATAGATAATCGTACATGACATTCTTGATTGTGGTATAACAGCAACTCAGGCTGAACAAGATATTTTAAAATTATATCACTCGAATTTTGATGATTGTCCTGCCATGGACCTTCGGCTATATTCAAAACTATCCCTCTCGTTAGACCAAGAGTTGCAAGATAATATTTTACATGAAGTTTTTGACGAAATAGACAATGACTATATAACAAATGAAATCCACAGTTTCCTCGCCGACTTTTTTAATGCCGATCACGGCAAACAAGGATGGTGCGAATCAGTTCGGAGAATAGTCATTAATGAAAAGGATTCAGAATTACTGCAATGTACAAAAGAGTTGCTTAAAGGAACACTGGGGCGGTTGTAAGTAATATAATAGTAAGAAGTTCAGATGATCTCATTTACAAAGTCATAATCAATTATTAATAAACTATACGTATAGTGTAAAGGCCTTTTCCTTGGATGCATTGAATCCCTTAAGAGATGTTACGATATTAGAAGACCACATCTCAATCAATTCATACACCCGCTAATTGACAATGTATTGTGGATCTTCGCAAGTATTAATTACATATCGTAAGTTGAAGCGGTCTTAATTCCTTCTTTTGATTTTTCTTAGAATTAATCACATTTTCCTTCATTAGTGGCGAAATTTCTCTGCAAGGAAAAGCAAAAGTCATGGCAGATGGTGTTGGATACCTTAATGATGTCTCAAACTACCAAATCGTTTGCATG